CAGTTGCACCAGAATCCAAAAACCATGAGGTTTTAAAATCAATACAAGAAACAAGAAGATATGTAAAACGTGTGTTCTTACCAGACAAGATCAAGGAACTGTCAAACGGCTTACGCAGTGTGTATATAGCGGCATTAAGCTGCTCCGACTCCCTTTACCGAATATTCACATATGGAGTATCATTATCACACTTCCCATGAAGACGAAAACGCATGTCTTTTGTGTGTCTAACACTCTTACAATAGGTGCACCAACGTCCCATGGACAAAAACATATCAAAGAGAACAACAAAAAAGAAGTGGATAATTACCAGAGAAGTCACAAAAGTCTCTGGAGAGCCCAAACAACAAAACAACTTCAGGTTTGAGTCCAAACAGAAGCAACAGGGTCAAATTTGTCCAAAAAAAATCTGAAAAGCCAAACAGCATCCAATCCCCGAAACAACCACAGATCCAGAAAGTAGAAGTCAAGACGATCCAAACGACGATGACCCAAGGTAGAATCACCCCTCCAAGCGCCGGTGAGAGTTACGGAGCATAAGGCCCACGTGCAGAAAAGGAAAGGAGCGCATGTGGGCGTGTGTGAGCTCCGGTGATGGTGGGCTTTCGAGGGCTGGCCGATCTAGAGAAGGCAACAGTGTCTATGGGTGGTCGCAGGCGAAAAATGGCTAGAAAAGTGGGCGGCCAGAAACTACAAGTGTGGTTGAGGAGATTTCAAGGTGTTAGGGGCTTCGGTTGGTCATGAAACCACCGTAGAATGAAAGATCTCGAAAAAAACGAGTCAAACGATGGTCTTCTCGGTCCAAAAGGTTCCCAAAAAAATTTCTAGCAGCGGCTTGTGGCAGGGAGGAGACCAAAAAAGGGAAGAAAAAAGAGTACCACACTAAAGGCGACAGTCGTGGAAGCAGGGGCCCCTTAGAGTCGAGAGCTTTGATACCAACTTGAAAAGGAAGATTGTATTATTGAATTGTGTAAGTAATTGTACAAGAGAGCTCTATTTAAAGAGATTAAATGACATAATAGGCTAAGCCCAAAGAAGCTTCTAGAGTAATCTAAATAATAAAATATTAATCTAAATAATATAATATTATTTACAACAATTATTTACAACAGAGAGGATGGAGGTGATCTAGATGGCATGGAGCTTTGATTAGACACAAAAGGAATGGACACAGGAAAGGCGTTGGACTAGTGGAGGTAGAGAAAGTAGGCATGAATGAGTTGGAAAGGGAACTAACATACAATAGTTGGAAAGGGAACTAACATACAAAACTATTGAGATTTCTGACCATAAACGTCTCCGTTCCAGCAACTACTCTAGAGGCATTTTCATGTTTTTTTGGGTTTCCCCCTAACTGGGGAGTAGAGCACAAAATCTAGTTACCGAGAAGGACTTTATGAATGTATAAAACATACTATGTTTCCTTTCAAACATACTATTTTGATTATGAGGATTAGAGCAAATCGCACAATGAATGATACCTAGGTCATTGAGTATTGCGTGAAGTTTCTAAATTCCCCTCCCTAATCAGTTTGAAAATATCTAACATTGCATTGAAATTTAGAGTGTATCGTGGCATGAAATTGTTTGGAAACAGCGATAGCCTCATATTTTAATTTCAGAGGTAGATAGAAGTTTGAAGTTGGTATCAACAAGTGTTATAAGAGTAGCCTAGAGAGGAAACAATGGGTAGTGGGTACAAGACCCGAAAGATCACTAAAAATTAATGCAAAGGATTCTGAATATACTGGGCCTTGCCCATATAACATGCAGGACAAAAGTCAACAACAAATTTATTGCTAACAAAATGATTACAATTAATAGAAAATGGTGAGAAAACGAGAGAAAATTGAAGAGAGCATAGAGAAAAAGAAAGAGAAACTCTGAAGTAATTTGTATCTTGATACACTGATCTGAAATACAAAGGGAAAGCTCTATTTAAAGTGATGTAATGATCCATCAGTGAGTCAACAAAACTAACAGAAAAGATAACTAAAGTTCACACACACACAAAGAGAGAGAGAACAGCAGAAAGTAGCAAGCATTATTCATTAATAACAATGTTGCATGACAATTTTAAGTGTCTCATGATGAGAGTGACCTGATCTGCAGTGCCATAGAGTGTAGGAAGAAGGAATAGAGATTACATCAGACTTAGCTACACAAGTACAAGACAGAACTACTGGTGTAGCCTCTACAACAGGCCTTACAACAGAATTAGCAACAGGCTTACAGTAATAAAAACAAGAAGCATCCACTTGAGAGTTCAAGGATGATCCTCAAGGCAACTGAATCCCATGAAAATTGTACAAACCATCAGCATATAGGGAAGCTTCCAGTAGCACTTCATGAAAGTCCTAAGGTTTTACAGAACAACAATTGGAATGAAACTCAAAAAAGACATAGTTATCATATGCAAACTTACTAAACAAACAAGATTCTTGGTGATAAAGGGAACAAGTAGAAGATTGAGTAGGAGTAAGGTGTTGTGTGGTTTCAATGGTGAAGTGAATTTGGTGGAGCCAACCAAGGTTATTGACAGACCTTGGCCATTTCCCAAAAAGTTGAGTACTCTGAAACAAATTTTGTGGATAAGATGTCACATGGTGTGTGGCTCCAGAGTCAAGGAACCACTCCAATGCAGGGAGCTCGTGAAGTGTTGTAAGGAAGGCTTGAGATATGGGAGTCCTACTAGGTTCCTGAAAGAGACAGAGATAGAGACAGATGCGGATAGACGAAAAAACCCTTAAATTTGATGTGTTACACATTTAAATTTAGGACAAAATTGACATTTTGCCTTATGACAGCAATATGGCCGCAAATGAGATCGCAATGGCCGTTATTGCATTCCGGTGTGGCGCAGTTTCTTGCGGCGAGGCACCGCAACGCCCATACGGCGCGCCTCGCGGCGCTATTGCGACGCAATTAACTACTATGCCTGATATATGGGTGTTATTTTGCAGCCCACTTCGAATTGGCCCATTTCGGGCATCTCGAACCCCCAATACAGACCAGCCCAATTGTCCACTGCTAAGCCATGTCCCCAACTACTCCTAGCTGAACTCATCCTCCCCAACTCACATTCTCGCTCCTCTATGCGTTGGGCCAGCATCATTGTTTCGCTGAGCTCCGTCAAAAAGAAAGACGTCACCGCTGGGAAATGCAATCTGACCTCTACATTAATCTCCCTCTTTACACTATTTAAGAAGGCTACCTCCATCACCTCATCTCCCCCTTGATCTTCTTCGTCTTCTTGCATTTCCTTTTCTTCCACCTTTGTTGCTTTTTCTTTTTCTATTTTGATTTCTTCCTCTTCTTCTACTGTGCTTCCATCTTCTTCTGTTTTTTCCGATCTGTCCCCTTTGTCTTCTACAGCTTCCTGATCTTCTGCAATGTTATCTTCCTTCCCTTTTGGATCTGTTTCATTTTTTTCGTCTATTTCTGCGTCTTCTTCTTTCTCGTCCACTGTGTCAGCGTTTTCTTTTCTTTTTTTCTTCTTTTATGTCGTCTTTATTCACCTTGTCTGTTGCGATTTCAGCCTCTTCATCAGTTTCTTTTTGTTTCTTTTTTTCCTCCTTTTTTTTCTGGCTCTACCAAATAGATCTCAGGTATATATCTCCCTATACATGCTCTATCAAAGCTCTGCCAGCTTACATGGGGATTGAGCCCACTCCAAAGTTTGTACCAGTTGAGCGCACAACCTCTCAACCCCTTCACAGCTTCATTCAGCATATCAGCTTCTTGAATTTGATGTGCTAGAAAATGTTGTTCAAGCCCGAGCAACCATCCCCAATCTTTAATTCCATCTTCATCTCCATAAAATTCTGGAATCATTTTTTTTTAATATATATCTGGACCAGAAAGCACCTCCGGGATCGAAGATGCTCTGATACCAAATTGATGGAACCCTTTTTTATAAATCTGAAATTGCAGAAAATATAAATGGAGCCAAGCTCCTTACAAGGATAAAGTGCAGAAAATAAACCCAGAAATCTCAACTCCCAGAGATTCCCAATTTCCCCACTAACCAATTATGAATACATGAATACCCACACTACACACATTGCCTATCTTTTATCCTATACTTTAGGAATATTCTAGAATAACTTCCATAACAAAGTAACTAATTCACTAACTAGGCCCATGGCCCATCATATGTTAGGAAGAGGAGTAGCCTTAACCACAGAGGTTAGTTAGTAGTTGCAATAGTAATTAGCGAAGTTAGTAAGGAAGTGGACTTAAGTAGGTAAGAAGTGTAAAGAATGGGTTAGCTTGGAATAATTATTGTGTAATTAAGATTTCTCAGTGTAAGGGCATTACCCTTGTAAGGAGTTCTTCTCAGTGTATTCTATCTCTCCTTCCATAATAGAATAACATAAATCTTTTTCTCCAAGTTTCTTTCTTCCACAGTCATTCATTCTACAACCCCTATTATATTTTCATACGGATATCTATGAACAATGAAATATGGAAACCACTCATACCAGATCATCTAAGATACTCTAAAATATTCTAAAATAAATACTCTAGTAGTCTATGATATTTTGAGATATTTTCTCGACATACTAACAATAATCATCAATTTTCTAATTTTTACCATCCAAGTTATTAATAAAAAAAATTGTCATAATTAATTAAAACTATTGATAAGATATTTAATTTTAATTTTTATAAAGCAACATAAGTAAAGAGGACGAACCGGAGCAGTGGTAAAACTGTTCCTTCATGACTGAAAGGTCATGGGTTCGAATCCAGGAAACAGCCTCTTTGCAATTATGCAAGGGTAAGGCTGCGTACAAGGATTTCCTCCACCCCACACTCGCTAGTCGGGTTTAACAGGGAGTGGTTTAAAAATAAAGCAACATAAGTACTCGTTATACTTCAACATTATAAGCAAGGAATGGTTTCTAATCCAAAATTAGCTGAAATTCAAAGAACTTTGTAAGATTGAAAAGCCACCACACGGTAGTAAAAACAATATAAAAGGTCATAAATCTTACCTGAGTCAAATTATTGACTTGGATATTAAACCTTTGAATGGTTTCAGCCACGTCCTTTTTGGCCACTATATTTCCTGAAATTGACAGTTCACATAATTATTTGATCATATTGTTTGAAATTTCTCATGAATACATAAAATTATTGTGTTTTATTTGCACACATGTAAGTTTTTCTCTAAGGCATACACAAATATAGAAATACTTAGCATATGAAATTGATATATAGGGGGGAAATCCAAAATTTAAGTTCTTATAAGGCAGATTTTAAGGAATACATAAATCTTACGGGCAAGAAGACACCACTAAAGATGTGTGTGTTCCACTACAATATTCACCATACAATAGAAATAACTGCTCATTGTCACATAAATTTGGTATAATTGTTTTTAACAAAACCTTCATAAATCATAACAAACAAAAACTGCTCCAGGGTAGGACACCCCCCTCCCCTAAGAGATTGATCCAAAGAGAGTAGGTTACCTTGCAATGCAAAAATAAATGTCATCTTGTTTTAGAACTATATAGCTACTCAAATAAATAAGACTACCCCAATATCAGGTAATATGAATATACCCTGACACTTGAAGTTCATAACAATTTATCAGAAAATGCAGGTTGTACCAATTCAGAAGTTGTTTCTTAAAAAGGAAGCTATGTACCATAAGGAAAACATAGGGATAAAAACAATGGACTTGATACTCAGTACCCAGCATAGTTTTTACTCAGTACCCAGCATAGTTTTTAATGTGAAAACCAGAAACCATATTTTGTTTTTAGATACCATAAGCAGCCAGTTTTAACTTTTAACCATTTTCTATTACAGTTAACATCAATCAAGAGAGCTAGCAACTACAGTCAAAGTAATAGTAGCATTCAATAAAATTATGGATGTAGTATATTGAAAATCCTACCATTGAACAACCATTCAGACTTATTGTTAGTGTTTATTTTTCGCATAATGGTAATGTGTTCTTCTTTATGGTTCCCTCTCAGCGTAATCTTAATGTAGCCAGACTCTTCTCCCCGCTTCACATATGCCCCAATACTCGTGGCTCGCCCAAGCAACTACAAGAAACAAAGTCTTCATACAATGTGGATCAAAAATAAAAGTTTGTAGAAGCCTGTTCAAGTGCAGGAACAGCACAAACCAACCTGGGGCTCTCCACAGAGACCAAGAGCAATAGCGCACACGAGAGAACTCTTCCCAGAACCATTGGGCCCAATTACAAGATTCAATCGAGGCCCAGGTTTGCATTTTAAGTAATCAAAAGTCATGAAATTACGAAGCTCAATCTCAAGAATGTTTCCGGGCATATAATCATCTTCCCCCCTGAAACAAGGTTCAAATCATGAACTCCATAATCACAAGTTCACAACCCTATAGTCATTTTCAAAAATAAAAAATGTGTGGGGTGATGGAATATTAATTATTTCAAAAATTAAAGCATAAAATATTCATTTTGATTGACCTAATGCCATGCGCTAGAGCATGAAGTCCATAAAGTAAAATAGAACACTAAGGGCGAGTTTGTATGGAGAACTTTGGAGGGCGAGATTATCATTTCTAAACAATATATATATATGTGTGTGTGTGTGTGTGTGTGTGTGTGTGTGTTTATAAAATTGAATAAAGAAAGATTTGAAAAATACACAATAATCTCATTTTTTTTCCTCTCATTTTGAAAACTTCTAAAATAGGGGGGAAATTTTATTTAAATTGAAAAACTATCACTCCAAACACTTCCATCCAAACATACCCGAGTGACGATTCAGTTCAGGTACGTCAATACTTGTATATCTTCACAATTCCAACAAAAATAAGGATAATCAAGTTCCAGTTACTGTTTTTAATGATTTCATTTCCTTTACTTAACATACTACGAGTTAAGAACAACACTTAACAACAAACGACATAGACCTAATGCCGAAATTACGAGAAAGCACGTTAAAAAACAAATGGCATTGCCCTAATGCCGAAATTGGGAGGAAGCAGGTTAAAAGGGGCGAATCAAAAACCGTTGAGGGTAATGAATGCATAAACAATAACAGAGGAAAAAAACAAAAAACAAAAATGATGAGGCAAAACATTTACAAACCTTGTAATTTTGAGGCGCTTAGGAGACCGTGATTCTGCCATTGCAGAAAACGGGGGTCTCTTTGAAGCTTTGGAAGTGAAAGTTCGAATTTTCGTCTCCGAAAACCCTTTGGAAATTGGTATATGGAATTGATGGATTAGGGTTTGAGTTGATGGAGCTGAAAAGGTGAGAGAACAATTGGCGCCAACTAATAGTTGGACAAAAACAACTCTCGGATCTGGGTCGTGGTAATTTGTAAAGAATAAATTAAATAAAAAGTCATTATTTTTATGCACGTTAAGTTTATAATTTTTTCTTTTAGCAAAAAAAAAAAGATTAATATTTTATTTTTTTTAAATGACACAATATTAGTCTTGTAATCAAGGAACACTGATCAAAATGTCACTGTTCACCAACTTTTTTATCTAAATGTGATACGTCAGCAAACCGAGTTCGTTACGCAGGGTAGCAAACTTGCCCCCGTGACCTATTGGAAAAAGTTGGTGAACAGTGGCATTTTGGTCAGTGGTTCTAGGAACTCGGTAATGAACACAGGGTAGCGAACTCGTTTAATGAATAACAAGTATCAAATTTTTAAAAAAATAATATTAATAAAAAAATGAAGGTCGCCTACCATGTAGGCGAACTTGGTTAAAATCAAGTTGGTGTCCACTAGAAACGTGACACGTCAACAAATCGAGTTCGCTACACCGGGTAGCGAACTTGCCTCCGTGGCAGTTTGGAAAATAACACTGTTCGCGTGGCATTTAGGTAAAAAAGTTGATAAACAGTGACATTTTGGTCACTGTTCCTGTAATCAACGGAGTAAAACCTTGTGCTATATCCGGTGTCAACTTCCCACGGAGAAATAATTAGAGACCGTATACCAAAATAAAGTGTATAATTTTTTTTTAACATTAGGAAGTAGAAAATGTTAAATTTATAATTTGTTTATGTTAACATTCCCTTTCTTTTAAGGAAAAGTTCAAAAATCTACTATTTTTTGCTTTGGATCACTTACATGGTATATTTTTTATTTTATTTTTTTGAATCACTTATCCCCGCTATGTTTTTTTCATCCAACCTCATCTTTAACACAATTAATAACTTAACTAATCTACTTATTCAACCATTCTTAAAAGAAAAATTAGACTGATGACAAAAAAAAATAATAGAAAAAAAAGTAATATCAAATATCTTGTAAACTTACAACATTTATAAAAAAAAGATTAAAAGTAAAAAAGTTAAAATAGAACAAAAAAATAAATATATCAAAATCAAGAAGAAAAAAATAGACCGAGAACAAAAATACAAAAAAAAGACTAAATATACTAAAAACTTATAATAGTTAAAAAAAATCTTAATTACAAAGAAGAAAATAGACTAAAAAAAATAGAAGAAAAGATAAAAAAATAAAAATAAAATAAAAATAGATCAACATTAAAGAGTATTAATATCATCCACTTTTAACTATTACGGGAAAAACAATTATACGCATTGTTCGGAGGTGAACATCAATGTCTAGCTGAAGAGTTAGTAATTATTAATGTTATTAAAACTGGTTCGGTCAATGATTCAGTCTAGGTATTGGGTCACCGGATCACTGGTTCAACCAGTGGGTCACTGGTTGAACCGCATGACCCAGTGATTGTATATAAATTTATAATTTATATTAAAAAATTATAAATATACTCAGATAGCTAAAAAAAATAATATAAATTCTAAATATTTTAATATAAAAAATAATAAATTATACATTATTATCCAATAAAGGATCAAACAAACACATAATGCTTGTTATATTGGTGTCTTAGGTTCGGTAAACGACATCTCTAACTATCAAATCAAAATTGTCTGCATAGTGCATAGTTGAGATAATATTAAGATTATAGGTACATAACTTATGTAAGTCAATAAGTAATAGATCATTCAAATATGTCAATTATGATTTTGTTTTTGAAAAACTTTTTTTTTTTTAAATATTTTTTTAAAAAAAACCCGGGCCAGGTCACCGTTTTTTCACCAAAACCGGCCGGATCACACCGGGTCGTACCGAGTCTGATACTTGACCGAACCAATGTGATAACCCGACCGGTTCACCGGATTTCGAGTCGACCCGGTCGGTCCGGTCCCGTTTTCACAACAATGGTAATTATATTTACAGAGTTTATGGTAGAGATGACTGGTATGAGAAGTTCAATATCCCAAACCAAGGTCCAATGATATGAATAAGGGATGTGTGCATGTGAGCTACCTACTTAATGGATATGATGTGCTCTAGATATATGTGTGAAGGTTGTAGCCATAGTGACAAACCTGATGACTAGAAAGTTATGCAGGTAGTGGTAGTTTAGCAAGTGACTCAGAGGCGTGATGTGATGCTTGTAGTGAGATGTATAGTGCATATCATGTAATGAGAAGTTTGGACCATTTAACTATTCCATAACATGCATATTAATTAATCAGTATTTAATATCATATAGTTTAAACTGTTATTGAAAAAACAATCATTAATTAGATCCATTAAACACTATGGAAACAAGTTTGAGTATGGAACAAACTTCCAGATTTATTCACAAATTAGATTTGGTTACGGCCGTTGCAAATAGTGATTGTGTATCAATCTCTAAACAAGTTCTACAAGGTAACTATTGTGTATTAAATACTTATGAAGTGGTGAACGAAGTTTACCTTAAATAAAGATTTAGGTTTGTGTTGCCAAAAAAAAGATTTAGGTTTGGATGATTTGCAGGAGCATATAGGTTCAAACAATGTACCATAAATAAAGATTGAGGTTGTAATAATATGTTTTAGGGAAATAGTTTTCTCATTTTACATGAGAAAATTTTCTCATGCTACACTCACAATATATGAGTGGGTCCCATCTTGACTTTTGTGTCTTATCACCTTTTTGTGGACCCCACTCATGTATTATGTGTGTAACATAAGAAAATTTTCTCATGTAAAATGAGAAAATTAATTCCCTATGTTTTAATGTACTAAAATAAAGAATTAGTTACGTTTTGACGATATAAAAGTCATATTTTCGTGATACTTAATGTTGTTGGCATTACATGACTTGTCAGCTATGAAGTACCCACACTTCAAAAACTCTAACGTATCGTGCCAAACACTTCCTGACACTCTCCGACACTCTAACACGCATTATAGAAATTCAAAAAAAGTTTCAAAGGTTGCGTTACGTTGAGTTTTTAGTTCCAACTATTAGATTCGTTGGATTACGATTACTATTTTATTGAGTTTGATATAAATATATGGGATATCTTATGTTTCTTTGCAAAATTGATGAATATTATAAGTTTAGTCTCATTTTTTTGTTAAATTGTTGAATATTAAATATAATATACACTGCATAAATTAAAAATATTATTTAATATCAAAACGTGTCCTAAAGTGTCGAAATCTAATATTTTTTAGAATTAACGTGTCGGAGTGTCGTGTCGTGTCGTGTCACGTGTCCCGTGTCGATATCGATGCTACATAGCTTGTCAGTTTATAAAAGAACTAATTCAACCCAAAAGTTTAAGTTATTGGGTGAATACTTTTTAATGGTTTATACTATTTTCTAACACGCCCCCTCGTACGAGAGCTGTAAGGACCCGCACCGTTAATTTAGAAAATTAATTAAATAAATATGAGAATTAGGAAATAATTCCATAATTGACCCTAATAATTATATTAAGGCTTAAATAAATAGGGTAAGTGAATAATAATGTTGAAAGTCGCTTTTCTGATGAAAAGTGCAGATACCGGTTCTGCTACTCGGTATAAATGCGTACCGATGAAGTATCCCGAAAATTATAAAAAGTGTGTATATGTCACTAGAATAATAGATAGGACTTGTAAAACGAGTTTCACGTTAAAATAATAAAAACTGGTGCCAGAACTGATACTGGCTATGGAAAAGCGCATACTGGAAAGGTGCTGCGAAAAATAAAATAAAAAATATGACAAATCTTAGAAAATTGAGTAGGTTCAGAATCCAAAGTTTGGGATTAAAATGCTAAGCGTAGCAATTAGCGCTAATACAGTGCGATTAAGACTTAAGTGAGCTATATATACCCATTTGGCCCAAAACCCTAGGCCATGTTGTGCCTTCTACGTAGGAATTTCTGGAGCTTGAGAGTCAGCCACCTTGCCACTCTTTTCTACCTCCATTGAAGCTCCAAGGGAGCACCTTTTCTTCATCTTCCTTCACCTAAACACCTTGGGTGAGTGTAAACCATCATAGTGAGTGAGAAAGGATCAACATTTCTGAGTGTGGTGGTTGTGTGAAGTCAGTTTAGGGGCTGTGTTTATGAGTTGTGGGGGCGAGACCTTTGTCATGGCATTTTGAGGTCCAAGGAGTGACCTTTGTGAAGAAAGAACCCTTCTTGGTGTGCCATTTTCGTGCACCTTCATAGTCTGAATTTTTGGTGCTGTTTGGTGAGCTCCAAGAGCATTCCTTTCTCTGTTTTGAGCCTTGGATAAGTTCACCTACCTTGATCATGAGTTTTAATTGGTTAAAGCTTGAGTCTTGGCATGTAATTTGTTAAAATGAAGTAACCAACATAAACATGAATCTGTAAGTCTGTAAAAATGCATGCTTGGATGTTGGAATAGGTTAAAAACCTAACCTTTGGAGTGATATCTCGCGAAATGCAGAATCTGCATTCTGTCGCAAAATATCCGGATATGATATCCGGATATGATATCCGGATATTGATATTTGGATATGGGGTATTGTGATATCCGAATATGGATATCCGGATATGATATCCGGATATGGGATATCCGTATATGTCCCCGACATATATCCGGATATTCTGGGTTTGTGTGAACAGTAATGGTACTGTTCATACAGAATGGCGTTATGGGTTGGTGGACCCTAGATTGATGAAGTGGAACTTCTGTAATAAATAACCTAAGTCAGAATCTAAGTGATTAAGGGCTTGTGGCTTTGTGAGAAGCCTAAAGACATGAAATGTAAAAGAGAGGCGTTGTCTTTATGTCATATGCTTGTATGTTTGAATATTGATATGGTTGCTGGTCCAAAATAGATTGTGATTCTGTTGTGTTTGGACTTGAGCTTGTGTGAACTCT